CCTCTCTTCTCCATAAATTAACTTCTATTTATAGGCAAAATTGGTCTTGCGAGAAAATCCCGAAATCACAAAACAGTGACAAAGCGACCTCGTTTTCCTCAGTAGTGGTAAACATAGCTTCGAGCGTACAAAAAGTCAGCTAAAGTAAACCACTTCACAATAAATCACGCTGCTTAAACACCATGAAGTCTTTCCTTGCCTTCAAAGTCATCAGCACTTGGATATTGGTGTATTTTCAAAAAGGTTTTACTTTGAAACTTTGGCAAAACACCCAGTTCACGACAGCGGTTTTGTTCGGCTTTATATTCACCGCCTAGCCCGGTGAATATAACGTCATAGTCCGAGATAGCTAACCAATCAGATTGCTTGAATTACCAAGATCACTGAGTGTGTATATACTAAATTGTAATATAAAATTATTTTACAGTTCAACTGTAAATATTAGAGAGACTTACTAGAGTAACGTTTACGTCAAACGATCAAGTTTTCTCCTCTTACGTGTCGTTTATTCCTCTTTAAAAGTACACGATAATAACGCCAGTTTTATCCATAAGAATTGTTTTGAGCTGTTTTTATCTGATCATTTTCTATTTTGAGAATTTTCATATAGAATTTGACTTTTGCCGTTTACCGTAAAGGTGACTCTAGAGAAGTTAAGCATCACGTGTATGTCAAACGACAAACGCGAATTTGTACCACGTGACCAAGTGTCCCCATTACTTGTCTTTATACTGTTTTTATTTCTACACATAAATTAGTGGTTTCAACCAATTTTTTATCCATAAGAATTGTTTTGAGCTGTTTTTATTTGCTCATTTTCTATTTTGAGAAATTCTCAACTTGAATCTGACGTTTGCCGTTTGCCGTATACGTGAAGCTTAAACTCTCGTCTATCTCACCATTGGCAACCGCCATTGATGTCCCCGAAACCAAAATAATCAAAAACCTATTATTTTGAAATCGTATACATGCAGCAATCCTTATCTGTACGAGTGAACAAGAACTAGGTTCGATAAGGCGCCGGAAATATCAATTCTCCATTTTCACATAGACCGTAAAGAAAGTTTTTCACTCTTAAAAATTTTGCAGGTTCTCAGTCGTCCCAAGAGAAATCGAAGACAATAGTTATGCAGAATTCGGGGGTAAACAAGGTGGATTATGGTCTAAAGAGTGTTTTCACATGACGTCAAGGAGGCCAGATTGGTGTCCCAAAACAATGAAACGGCGGCCATGTTGGTGTCCCAAACCAATCCTCTGGGAGTTGAACTCTTTTCTTATCCAAACGCTTTCTTTTGTTCCAATGAATTTGCATATATGAAAATGGTGAATAGAGCCTAATAGAGATAATAGAGACAACACCATGTGATAACGTCCGCTCATGCTAAGATTTTTCACTGAATAATCATGTCACTTAAGTGTCACCAAAATGTTTCATTTGAAAACTGAATAAACAGTGTTATGTTCATTTCCGGCTGTAATAAATGACACTTTGTAGCGTAAAACCTGTACGTTGATAGTGTTTTAGTTACTTATTTTTAATCATTATTAGTTAATTTCATGCATTATAAAATGTATGCTCTCGGGACTAGAATGCTATCAAATATAGCTAAGAATTTGTAAAAGTGGCCATTTTATTTTGAAAATAATAAAGAATAAATTATTCAAATAGATGCTGATAGGGGCACGAAATAAAAACAGATAAAATTCATAGGTAAACAAATCAGAGCTTTCGAGCCGACTTGAACATTAAATTTGAAAAGCAAATCTCATCATTTTACATCGAGTCTAGAACTGCGACAGACCTACCCCACGATTGAAATATATTCTCAGGATTACCCCTTATTTTAAGTACAATTTATCCATATTTCACTATCAGTCTATGGCATTCCACGCTCATCTATACGAAGTTGAACTGAGATAACGAGCGACTTTTGTGAATTTTCAGACATTATTCATTTCATAAATTGCGCTTTGTTTACAGAATAAGCGGCTATAATAAATTTTCCCTTTCTTCCAATATACCTTATTATAGGAAATTAACGCGAATCGTTAAAATTCGCGTTAATGTAAGTCGCGTAAATTTTGTTGAGCGTTAATTTCCGTGACGTTAATTTAGTGCAGCGTTAATTTCTGCGCTCTTAAATTTCCAGTATTTTAACCTCTGGAACCTGTCCAGACATTCTTGACACCTTACAAACTTTAACTACAAGCTTTCTTTCTTTCCATTTACCCTTTATTTTTCATCTTTCACAAAAGCTAAGGCGAATGTTTACAATATTTCGAGTTCAACTTCATCGTTGTCGCTGTCAGAAGTGATGTCAGTATCTTCTCCTTTGATTTTGACCACCCACTGTACGGTGTCTTAATCGCGTTAGTTTTCTTTATTATGAAATTCTACCTCCTCTTTCGCGTTAATTTTCTTTATTCGAAAGTCGTTTTCCATTAAATTCGCGTTGATTTAAGTCGCGTTATTTTCCAATACTTTAATTTCATGGAGCGTTAATTTCCTATAATAAGGTATAGCTTAATCGCACTTAAGCACGAAAAATCATACTGACCTGAAAATTGTTAAAACGATAAGTCCCTAGGAAGTCTTTTCCCTCCAGTATTGAACTATGAAACGTAAAAATCAGAATGATTGGTGATAAATTGTGCTCCACTGATTTATTTCAAAATATGATGCAAACCAGCGAGGAGGTAAAAATGCCTTTAGTTCACTTTATCACTGTTAATAACACTTCACTGTGTTAGATGGTGGGATTACAAAAGCTGAACGTATAACTATATCAAAAAGAAAGCCCGATGCAAATATCACAAGGCTTAACTTTACTAAAGTTTACGAACATAATAGAGCGTCTAACCGCCCAGTAATTTTACAATGTCTTGGCTGCCCGTATGCAAAATGTTTGAAATGGAATAGCCGAGATTATCAGTTGAACCTGTACACTTTTAAGCAGAAAAATAATTTGCTTTAGAAGATAAATGAGACATTCTTGCCAGAATTACCCCTTATCTCCTGTGGCGTTTCCCCTTTTCTAAAAAACTCAAAGTTAATTATAACTAATCATAGTTTTCGTTTTAATCTAGATGTTTGTTAATTTCTACTGTTTATAATGCGATCCTGAAATCATACGCCATCTTCTATATACTCTCGTACCCCGTGGGTAGTCAAAGACCTCACATGTCTACCCCCACTAAGTACGTGTACCTTTAACATACATATCAGCTTTTTCCTGATCCTTAACCATCTCACTGCTACCCTCTCAGGCATTTTTTTTCCTTGTGCTGAACGTGTAATTTTTTAATTCGTGCTAAGCTTTATTGCCACGTATCCTAGAAGGTATGATGAAGACCACGGTAGATTTTCTCTCATTGGAAGCAAGATGTCTACCGAGCACCAATTCCGTGTGCACGTCTTCTCGATTTTCTTCATAGTTGCTCTCATTTACCAAGAAATTGAAGGTATGAACGACAGCGAAATTGATGTTTTTATGTTATTGAAGAACTGTTTTATACATGTTTTATACAAACATGCTAGTAAAATTTTGATTTAGTGATGAAGAACTGTAAGTTACAAGAAGCCTTTGATTTCACGAAGGATGAAGCATTGTTCACAAGTAGTTACTTCTTTATTAACACAATATCTTTATGGGTAAAAAATGTCGAATTGTTGCACAGTGGTACTTAATAGTTTGTTCTTGTTTGTACTACAGGACTCAGCTTCAAAGCAGGAAAATTCCATGTCTCCACAACTTTGAGTCTGTTTGCCTGTAAGAATGTTTCTTTTGTGGAGCCTTTTATCGGTGGACAAGAAATTAAAATCTTCATTTCTAAAAGCCATGCAACGAAAAGTTCTACTCGTGGAAATGGCGCAGCAATTTGGGTGGAATCTGTGAATAACAAAGAATTTACTGTCTGTGTTTTGGAGTACGGAGATGGCTCAAGCGGAACTTCGCAAGTGAACTGGATGGCTCTGCAATCTGTACCTACTGGCGCTCAGCTAGGAACAGCTTCGTTAAACTCCTGGTCTGGTGGAACAAATTGTAAAAGGATCGCTTTTGAAAAGGTTCGATTTGCCCTGTATTTCATTCTTCTTAATTTCATTTCGCTTGTCTCCTAAGAAAAAAAACTCTCAGCCCTTTGCTTTACACTCGTTATTTCATATGTCTATTCATTCCGTGAAGCGTGAAAGACTATTTTTAATTGCCGTGAATCGTGAACGAAATAACTCGTGATCCGTGAACAAAAATGATCCCGTGATTCGTGAAATGAATAGTTTATTTCTCGAGATTCGTGACCATGGTCAATATATATAGCTAGTTTTTCGTGAGATATTCAACGTAAACTTTTAATGTCAACAAAGATGAACAAACAGCCACGCTCATCCTAGACATTATATCTAGACGTCACATGATCAAATGACTCGCACGCATAACTCCTTCAAAAGGTGCGAGAGAAAATCTAAGAACGAACAGTGAGGGAAGCGTTTTCCAAGTTATGTACGGCGCTGGTAACTGTAACGTAGCCAGCAGTTACAAGCGCCGTACAAACGACTTATTGACGAGATCAAGCAAAACTAACTACGAGAGAACCACTGGAGAACTGACGATTTGACTAACAATAGGCGATTGTTTAACTGTGATAATAGACGGATCGAAACGCACCAATTACTGATTACGAGTCTTCATAGCCAATAACATCACGGCTTAACTCACAGACGACCAACAACATTGCGACGTAACTGACCAATCAGATTAATAACCAGAGTATAATACCATCAACTGACGTGATACAAGTCACTTTGACTTCGAAGATGACTACCGCACAGGTTGTCGAAACGTCAGTCACTGTCAACAACAACAGTCCTATTCAGGACTACGTTCACCCGGACGATCAGACTCAACCTACTTTCGATGTTATGTGTATTTACTTTGCAAAGAAAGTAACGCGCATTATTCTTACAAGTCGCTTAGCTTTATGCTATTTATGACGTCTTATCTTGGTACCATGGCAACCTTCCATCACCAAATTTAAGCGTAATGCGGCTAAGGAATAAAATGAGCAGTTACTGGAAAGGAAAGGTTTGGGCTCAAAATCCGTTTTTGAACATATAGGCCAAAACCTGTGTGCCTTAACCACAGTCAATCACAATAGTTAATCCTAAGTTCTAAATCTTATATCTCTTTCTTGTTCTTCAGTCACGGCATTTGTTTCGACAAAAAACATCAAATTAAGAACAAGGAGGAGATTAGAATGAAGAAAAAGAAATTGAGGAGAAAAGATGGGGCTTTAATACGGTGGCCCACAACGGCAATACACAAATATCTATTATATTATTGCATTCTATATCTTAGTACACAAACATATTCATTGGCTGCGCGGGTATATTTACCAGTACAATAAAATATACACCAGTACAACAATACTGTATCCCAGTACAGAAATGTTAATTTCAGTACAAAAATATAAACTCCAGTACGGAAAGTTATCCCCAATTCTTAGTACACAAATAACAGCTCCAGAAAGAAAAATATCAATCTCCCAGTACAAAAACTTAAGTTCAAGAACAAACATATTCATCGGTTGTGCGAATAGATTCTTCAGTACAGTAAAATTCATGTATACAACAGTAAAACAATATTTATCCCAGTACAAAAATATAAATCTCAGTACAAATATAAAAGTTGCGGTACAAAGTTCCAAACATTCGAATGGTAACACTATAAGCCTGCGCCCACATATTATGTTAGTTAGAGAATAAAGTTATCTCCGTCGCCATAATGTGGTCACGAGTGAGGTGCAACTTCTTCCCCAGGACGAGGTTGAGTGAGCTGGTCACTGATTTTCTTAAATAGCTATTTTATCTAACACTCCACTGTATCATCCCTGGATCAGCAACGGAGCTGCTTTCTAAGGCAGACATATTACCTTGCATTATCTTTGTTAGCTGAAAATACATATAATATTTCTCTACTCTTTCACTTCTTTAGCTTTTCTTGGCTCTTCCAAATATCATGGTTACAGCTCGTCACCAGATTCTTGAAAGAGCTCAAGACGCTTTGGCCGTGTGGGTAGAAGACTTGCGCAAGGACAGCTTTAAACTTTGTGCCAGAGAAGCTAAGATTTTTGATGGCATTCATAAAAACATCAAAGTGGTGAGTAGTATTCCTGTTCCTTGATTTCTTCGCTACTTCTTGTTTTGTGATTAGTGGTGTCTTTAACGTAATAGAACAAGTTTTGTATTCTGTAATGTTGGCAATTTTGAGTTTAGTAAGATATCACATATGACGTCAAAGTGTGGTAAAAACAAAGACGTGGCACACCTGCCGCAGGCGAGTGTGTCACTCAGATGTTTTTACCACATTTTCCGTCTTTTGTGGTCTATACATGGAATCTATTTGTTTTAAACAACGACGAGAGAAGAAAACGACATACTCATACCTGCCTCGTACTGCTTAAATGTTCTAGGATTTGAGCTAGTCTAGGAATTTTTTAATAACGCTACTTTTCGTCTCGGCTTCTTCTTTACTTCTTTATCTTACTTGTATATAGTTTTTCCAAAAAGTTTTTTTAACGCCTTTACTAGCTCAAAGCAGAATAATCGCGAAAACATTTCGCAAATCTGCCAGTCTCTCATAACACTGACACACGGTGGCAATTGTTGTGAAGATTTCTTGTAGTTTAGGCATTCTAAAGTTGTCAAGTTCTCTTTTTGTCTCCGATTCTCCATTTTCCTCCTTTGTAAATAGTTCCTTCTAAAATCTTTTGGAGGATTACACCTGCTGAATTCGAAATAATCTCACCAACATTTGCATAACCGCGTGCCATGTTGAAGAAAACGGCAAATAAAACAAGATTCCGTTAACGTCATCCTTGTGTCTGTACTCTAATAGATCATGGGCAACGACCAATCACGTCACACGAAGCATTCACATCATTATATAACTTCACATCTTTACCTCTTTCCTGCAGGATTGGATCGCTTTTATCAAACTGAAGACTGACAATTTCACCTTGACTAACAGTCTCGTGTTTACAAACAACAACTCACCATCAAACAAACAAGACAACAACGCTGTCTGTCAGGTATATTGTCATGTTTAATGGTTTCCAGCATTGACCACCCTTGCTTTCCTCTTTCCTCTGCTTGTTTTTGTCATTCAAATTATGGATTAACTTACATCTTTGAATAACTGTATCCTTTCAAAAGAAAGTCTCATTTTCCACTTGTATAGTTGGTAGGAGGACTGAATAAGAAAATGGTTGTTAATATTTTATACTTTTTCTTGGAAAGAAGCTATTTATTTCAAATGAGATTTAAGATCATTTGTTTTGTCCTGTTTTCAGAAAGTTAAGTTCCAGGATGTCTTTTATGCCCCTCCAGTTGTAGTGGTGTCTCCAAGACTTGGTTACAATAACAACAAATCACGTTTCTCAGGATCCGAACCATGCAACGCAGTTACTGCCTGGGTTGAGGTTAGAAATATATAGTCCCCCTACTCTTCCTGTGGTTCTAATGAGGAGTTTGTTTAAAAGTCAATAAATTATTCCTTTGATCGTTGCCATTTTACTCAAGTTAAAAACTTAGATGGGGTTAATCATACTAATTTAACTAGTTTCTCATTTTCATAAAAATATGGCAAACAGCTTTCCTTACAAAACGTTTCTGCAGACTTGTCAGATGAAAACAGACTTTTTCATAGTTTTTTTACTTGGTTGGTTCTTTCAAAGGAAAGACTTAGAAGTTTTAGTCTCATAGGTTTTTAACGATTGTTATATGCGAACTGTTACTCTACTTGCACTAAACCTGATCTTTTACCATCAATAAATCGACTAGTCAGCTGAATTTGAAAAATGTATTGTTCAGTATTACTTTTAGTGCAACAAAATGTTATATGATGTTATCTTATGTTTTTCGCTGTTTTGGAATATGCTTAGCAAACATCTATAAACGAAACAGAAGTGTGTGTGTGAGAAGCTACAACAATGATGCCAACGATAAGGATATCATAAAGGTCGATTACATTGTAGTTGGAGGTACGTAATATATTATGTAACGTGAAATGAGGAAACAGTAATGACTTTTAACTGTAGACAATTACGGTGCTCTATAATAGTGATTAACTGTACAATACTAAAATGCATATGTTTTGATCAAATTTTATCCTAAATTAAAGTTCTTTTCCTTTGTTGCGAATCATTCAAAAACAAAATAAAGTGAGATTAAAAGCTAGGTTAAAATTCAGCAATATACGACATATATGGAACTGAGCGCTCATGTGTTTTGGGCTGTGGTCACATTATACCGGATAGCTTTTCATGGCGCCACTCCTGAGAAGCTATCCGGTATAGTGAATCCTACATGTGTCCAACATGAGACGCTACACTTTTAGTCCGGTGGCTTAGTGCAAAATTTTAGCGAGATCTATACAGAGCGGACAAAAGCACCAAACTTTGCATGGTTGAAGCTTAAGGCATGTTAGTCAATATTAGGATCGGTGCCCACAGCTACCTCTTAAGGATTTGCAGCAACTGCTCGCTGAAGTTCTTCAACAACCTTCCATGATGGGTACCCTGTGCTGGCGCCACGAGAAGCTATCCGCGTATAGCGTGAACACCTACATGTATCCAACATGTGTCTCTCCACTTTAGAGATCTGCGAGGCACAGCCTCTCTTTGTCACAGAAATCACGCCGCCACAACCGTTTTTTTTGTGTGAACAGAAGCCCAATCCAATATGGTTTTCTTGGCGGCGCAAAAGCTATCCGGTATAGTGTGATCATAGCCTTAACTTTTATCCACTTCCCTGATGACTCAAAATTCCAGGCTGTTTTATCTATTGACGAAATCGAAATGAATGAATCGGATATGATGATATCCAATTCCAACACTTGTATCTTTGTCTTTCAGACTTGGATCCTTGTATAGATGTAACATGTCATTATCACAGTCTGTGTAAGGCTTTTGGACCTCATGATGCACGCTGTGTGTGTTTGGAGAGCTGTCCGACTTACAAAGAACCCGTATGTTCATCCAATGGCACTACGTACGACAACAAATGTCTGTTTGAACAGGAAGTTTGTCTCAATCGACTAAACTTTACCGTACAACATCCTGGCAGCTGTGAAGGTCAGCAGTTTATTGCCTTTTTATTGGTCAGAGGCACCTTTTCACTGAATTCTGTTAGTCTTTGGAGTAATAGCAAAATTTTCTTTTACTTCATTTCTGTTTACTTTTCCAATATTTTTGGGGTAAAGTTGTTGCGTCAACAAGGGATTTAACTTTATTACTGTAAGCCAAATAACTTATCTTTGCAACTCGTTTTTAGGATTTCCTTTTCAGCATGGTCGCCTTCACATGGCCCAAATTCCATCTCTGGGTTATTCTCATTGTCAAGTAATTCGTTTCAAGCCTTTTGTATTTTACCCTGACAAACCCACTGAACTGCAGATCACTGTAAATCATATTGATACCAGTGACAAATCCTATGTCCATGACGCGGCAGTATCGTGGATTGAAGATGTGAATAACGACGGATTCACTGCCTGTGTGATAGCAGCTGGATATAACGAAAGGAAGTCTTATGCTAACGTGACAGTTGATTGGATGGCGTATCAAGGTGCTCCAGTGGGTGGCGTGACTGGTGAACTGCGCATGTCACAGTGGTGGACAGGGACGATTTGCGCAACTGTAAGATTTCCCATCGTAAGTGGCTTTGTTTGTTTATCTTAATGCTTTGTTTTCCTAAGCGTCTAAATACACATCATAAAATCATTCAGTTTGACTTTAAAACGAAACTTTCAGGGTGCTCTGTTGTTGTGAATAAACGCTTTGGAAAGACAACAATATCAACATAAAGTGACCGTTCTATTTTCTCTCAATAACCACTGAAATTCAGTTATGTGGTTTCGAAGGAGTGAAACAAAACGTTCAAACTGCCACTTTTAATCACTTTCCTGAATCTACGAAAATCACTGTTCTTGCTTCGAATCGATAATAA